GCTATGAAGAGTGGACACCACTTTAATATATTAAGGTACTTAACCCATGGCCAAGTTAACTCACCATACTTGGGCATTTTTTCACTATGGGATGATCAAATTCAATAAATGGGAGAAAATTTTAGTGTGACTGGTGTAGTGGTGGATCAAAGATTTGAATCTTGGGTGGTTTTGGTGTTAAATATAAGTTTTTGAGATAGAAACAGAGTGCAAAGCGCGAAAAAAAAATTCATTCATTAACGTATTTCGTTGAACTATTGGCGGGCTTGTTGTCGACAGCCAAACCATATTGTGCACATGTCAACAGATAACGGCATCTACCGAAACAATCTAATAAGTGATATAGAGAATTTGTTGGTGTTGTCGACACAACCTATGGAGGTATGCCTAGCATGCATTACACATCAAACATTTAGTAGGCAATGACCCATACCAAACACTTAGAGTGTCCTTGGGGGACCTTCACATGTATATTTTCTGGACACCGAGCGGTCTTGGGACCACCTTGATCCCTACTTCCATCCACCCTTGACGTGGTGTGTTATTAATTTACGTGTTATAATTTGAGTCAACAATAAAATTGATATTTTATGAATACATGTGTTATAACAAGCATGAATAATAACATGTATGTTGTAGTATGGCAGTTATCATACCATAAAGTTTCTCCCATTAGTAAGTCTCATTCATATCAAGTAATGTTAGTGGGATTGACATGGACGGTAAATTTTGTCAAGGTTACGCACTATCTGTCGATCGTCTTTATATAATGTCTTCTATAGCAATCCCTAAAACGTGGTTAAGGTACTCAGCTAAATTTCTTGTAGAGGCTGGCTTTTCATACTATAATATAACTTTGCCAATCAGAAAGACACTAATGATTCTTTATTTTGTGTGGCCACAATTTGAGGATAATAATCGAAAACCTATTATCCACATTCAGGCATGTTTTGGCTTATAAATACGCCACTATTGATTCTTTCCTTGATTAATTTAGTGCAAACTACACAAAATTGTTAATTTAATACTTCCATCGCTTTTGTAGATAATTAAGGTATGGAAAAGCCCTTTACTGGTTTAAACCAAACGCCCTATACATAATATACATTTTCACGTTAGTACATCTATTTGTCACACTTTTTTTAATATTACATGTAAAACTCACATAAGATATGTGCATTTAATCATTATCGAAAAATTAAAACAATTTAAATATAAATATTTAAATCTCATATGTGTTCAAATATTTCATCGTATTTTTTTGAGAGAATTTCTGAATAATGTACATGCATATTTTTCGGAACTACATTTTTTTTATTAACGCACAAGACTATAGATCGCCATAACATGTACTTCGTGGCCAAGCTTACCGGTTATATGATGTACCAGAATGGGGAAAAAAAAAAAAAATTAATCAACCGATTAGGTGCAATATGCATTTTTTAGATATATAATATAATATGTAACTCACACAGTATTTCCATTTTAACTACTTTTATATGTATAGTCCTTTACATTTGAGGGTTTTTTTCTATAATAATTTTATTTGAGCAACACCTTGTGGGCCTTATTCTGCAAATTTTTTTCAATGATCTAAAACATATATATTTTAGTACATCATTTTTGGATTATCTTTGTAAAAAATTAGACAAATTTAAAACCACTAAGACATCCTAGTGAATAAAATAGAGGAATATAGTTTTTCAAGAGAAACACTATTATACTATTTAATCCAACGTTTAAATGGTTTGGAATTCAGATGATTTTTTGTAGAAGTAATCTTTGAGAGAAATAATTAAATTGGTGAGTTTCATACACTAGACCTAATTTATACCCATATTCACCCTCAGCATAGGCTAATTAACACAAAATAACTCATATATGTATATGTGTGCGTGTGTGTGTGTATATATATATATTAAACGCACAGTACTATTGCCATTATTTTTCCTGGATGAGTGTAAAACACTTGGGGAGATAAAGTCCAAACATATAAAGATGGTGGTTTCGTGTTTGGATTCCACGCAAAATTTAAATCAGGTTGGTGGAATCCCACCCTAAAATCTTTGGTTTTTGAAAGGAGAATTGGTTGTGGTTAATAATTATTGCAAAAAGAAAACAAAAAACAACATATGTATTTGGCCGACTCTTTTTTTGTGTGGTTGTGTTTTTTCCTCTCCAACTTCAAAATTTCTAAGGGTAACGTCATTAATATGTGTGAGATGAAGCCTTATAATTTGGAACTAGCTAGTTGTTGTAACATTTGCAATGTTGGGTTAAAACCTAAAATTTGAGGTTTAAACTTTCTTCCTCTCTTTGTCTCGACAACTTCTGCAATATGATGCGCCCCTCATTCCTGCACACACGACAGAATTGCAGTTAAACCAAACCAAACCAAGGCAGCTTTGTCGGCCACCTAAACCAAACCAAGGCTAATGGCTAGTTTTGCATCTGACGGCTCACATGATTCGATCATTCAAATTATTATTTTTAAGTCTAATTTATAAATACAGTAATCCTAACAGCTAAAATTTAATATGATCAAATCTAACAGTAAAAAAAGGAAGATTTAATGGCCCAAAATTAAACCTGACGGCTAAAAAAATTAAAAAAAATTATTTAAATCAAAATTCATCCAAAACTCTATAAATACCTATGTATTTGTTCAAAGATCCATATAAAATTCACTTTCCTACGAGTTTGCCTAATTTTCATATGTTTCAGATGTGTAAGGGTTTTCCATGACTTTCATGCAATGTATATGTGTACAAATGAGGTCAGTGTAATTATTGGAGAAGAAAAGCTATTTCTGAGTTAAAATCTAAAATTTTTTGGGCAACTTTTAGGTATTAACCCAGACAATTGCACATGGTCATAGGTGAAGAAACAAAAGAGTATAAATGTAAATTTGTTCTGTTGGGATAGGACCTTCTTCTTCAGGTAGCTTAGAGTTGTAATATTGATTGTAATAGAAGAAAAAAAAACTAACAAACACGGTCGTCAATTTTTTTACAAAATTAGCAAAATCATTTTTTTTTAATTAGAAAACCTCGGCGGTAGCCATGACAATCCTCACGCACCGTTTGTGTTCGCAGTACTGATATTTTCTATCTGAAAAGTCCTCTACCAATTCTACTTCTACTAACTATATTGCTCCATGGTTTGAATATGATTGCCTCACTGTTTCGAGTTTCTTCATCGAGCTTGGAAAGAGGTAAGTTGGGAATTTTTGGATTTGCAAGTCCGTTTTAATCAGCCATAAAATAAGTGTCGTATCGTAAACGGAAGCACAAAAATGTCATCTAATCAGATATACGAAAAGAGTCACCTACCGCTGCAACTAATAACGTGTACAAACGAATTTGTAAAGTGACGTGACAATTATCCTGAATCAAATTTATATGTTTGCATGCATGTGCACCAGTTTCATAATTTCATTTACAAAAAAAGTTAATGAAAAGGACCTCACAGAATTTTTTTTCAACCAAAAATACTTGAAGAATTTTTATTAATAATAAAGACAACATAAAAAAATTGAGGCAATGAACATTTTGTAAGTAAGTTGAATTTTGATGGCACCGATTGTTTATATGAATAGGTTAACTGTTTGTACACAAGTCACCCTAAACCCTAACTGTGCATAAACAGTTGGTCATATGTGAAGCCCATTGGTCACATACGCTCCATGACTCTACTTGTGTTGTCCACGTTCTTGACTTGAATATTCACACATGTATGAAGCCCAACGGTCACACACGCTCCATGCAAGGACGAAGCTAGGGATCTATATAGATGGGGATATCTTCAAACAATAAAGTCACAAAGTAAAAAGCTAAGAATTTAATAAACAAAATACTTATATAATAATCCATAAGATTTTCCATACAACATAGCTAGGGTGCGTAGCGCGCACCCGTGATTCAAAAATGCCTCTCACATTCGTGTGAGCACGTGCAGAAAGGCTAGTGTGTGTGTGTGCCTCTCACATATGCGTGAGCGCGTGTAGAAAGGTTAATGTGTGTGTGTGTGTGTGTGAAGATCTTCTGAGGACCCTCCGAATGTTTTGTACGGGTCCTTTGTGTACCTACCAAGTGTTTGATGAAATACCTACTAAGCATATTTCAACATGATGTGTCGACAACATTCAATGAATTCTATCGATATCACTCATCTAATTGCTTCCATATATGTCAATATCTGTTGACATATGCACATCACGGTTTGACTCACAATAACAAGTCCACCCAGTGTTCGAGAAAATGCCTCAGTGAATATCTGAAAATCTCTTGTGCACTTTGCGATCCGTTTCCATATAAAAAAACGTGAACCTTTAACCCAACGAACCCCCAAGATTCGAATCCTAGATCGGCCATTGGTACCAATACCATCAAACCTCTCTCTATAAGACTGTTATCATTCATCCATTGATCTCCCATGGCCAAAAATGCTCTTTCAATGTTGGCAATAGCAACTAGAAGAGCTAAGGCTAATGTCACAAGCAAATAAACTAGTGACAGACCTTACTTATGTCACAAGCATGTACATTTTTTTTTTCCAACTAAATAAACTAGTGACAGACCTTCCCTATTATTACAATAATATTATACTATTAAAGTCGGATGTTATTGGCGAGCTTGAATACATTACAAAAATATCATTCGATAAAATGTAATATCACCCATGCTCTCTACTTATAAAATGTATATATAAATTTCACTCATATATGTAGCTGTGTAAGTGGTTCACCTATAGAAGTAATGCTTTCTTCCAAACAATAGTAGATGTCATTGATAAACAGTTGCTAAATACAAAGATTTGGACTAATTACAAGTACGTCATACGGAGATGGGTTTTGGTAAATACACAAGATCGAACAATAAAAACAGATTACATAGAAGTAATGCTATTAGTAAATAGAGTATTTCATAGCATCACTCCAGATCTTAAAAAATGCCAAAAGCAGAAGAATAAACAATTGGAGAACATTGGGCAATATAGAAGGACGAATAGACCCATGGTATATATTCTTATTGTGGCTTGTTGACACCGTTCTTTGTGTCAATTCATACTACTACATAAAGCTATAGCTAAGAGCTAGAGAAAAGTGACTTACTACATAATTACAATCAAAAGGGAATATAATACAGAGGCATTATCAGACTCTTTATACATATAAAGTACTTGTTCCTTCAAGAGCATCCGATAAAATTCAAACGATAAATAAAAAGTTCTTGATCAGCATTATATTTGGACAGTCTTTAATTGCATTTGGGATGGCTGGTCGATGCTATTTTTATCAATCACCAATTTTCCACCACTGATAGCGTTTGCATTAGTAATTGGTAACTCCTGAGCTTCATCCTTCACAGTAGTATTGGATTGCACAGCTGGGTTAGTGCCATAATCCTTGCTTTTACCCCACACCACAGAATAAAGGCCAAATGCGATGACCATGCCTCCAATGATACTATATGTCAAGTTTAAATTTTAAAAAAAAAAAAATTAGTGGGAATTAAAATGTATGATGTACTATTTAGAAAAAGATAAGAATGATACATATCAAATGCATGCTGAAAGTTGATTGATTACATCACGAAGATACCTTCTAGTAAAAGTAGGCAGTATTTGTTCCAAACAAAAGTTATGTCACAAGATGTACAACATCAGAACATATTGTACATTCCATTATTCCTCATTGTCAATACTTTTTAATCAGAATTTGTCACATTAGGAGAAAATTTATAATTAAAATAAATATAGGAATAATGCGCAAATATTGCCAAGAAATATCGCGTAACATGAGATGATTAGAATTTAGAATTAAGAGAAAAATTGCAGGGGAAATACGACATTAGCTCTTTATGTTTACCTGCCAAGGTGAAGTTTCTCAGCTAGAATAATGGAACCCAGAATGGACACGATAATCATGCAGAGAGGGTTAAAAGCCGTTACAAAAACCGGGCCTCTAGTCTTCATAACCAAGCCTTGCACGTAATATGTAATCCCAGAGCTAATTAGTACCCTAAACCATTGAAAAGGCTTCTTTATTAGTTTCATTTCCCCCAATTCGATTAAACTTAAAACCATCTAATTAAAATGAAAATTCTTGTTAGGGTTGAATTCGTATTCAGTTGTGTGGTAATAATTACCGTGTAGAGAGGTGCAAGGAGCCTTGAATCCCATCCAACCGCCCATGCACTAGGGCGACGCTCTACAGTAAATGCTACAGCTGAGCCTTGCAACGCTCCCGCCAAGCATATAAAGCAGGAAAGTGAGATGTTTGCTGGGTATTTCTTCACTGTTATAGACTGGATTAATATATAAGTTAGTTAAGTTCACTGTTAATATTTTCAAGCTCACATGCATGCATGGAACATAATTCAATTAATACTTACTTGCAATACGTAGAAACAGGACCAGGCAACACTACCCAGGAGGATAAAGAGTGTCCCGGCTATCCAGTGTTGGTTGGAGTTTATAGTGGTGCTGCTACTTTCATGGTGGCTGCTGGTTTTGTGCGACCACAGGAGGTCAATGACAGGGCCTTTGTACAGTGTCATCAGCAAAGCACCAGCAAAGGTTACTAGGGTTCCTATCACCTTGGCTTGACTTCGCACCTCTTTGATTTTTACAGTTTCGACCCTGCGTGCATGTGTGTTTCAGGTTTATATAAGTTATTAATTAATTTATGCATGCAAATAGATTTACATGCTAGCTAGCTACAGATGGAAGGGGATGTAACCGACGTATACTTATTTTGTCATACAATGACCTAGGAATGGATTAAGACTATATATTATGAAGTTATAAGCTCGAAGACCATTTCGTTGGAGAGAATTCTACCTATTTGATTAATTGATTCTTACCTAAAAATAACTGCGATTACAAAGGTGACAGACGGAACGGCATTCATGATGGCAGATGCAAATGAGGCCGATGTGTATTTCATCCCCAAGTACGTAAATCCCTGATCAATGACTGGCCTGCACAATCAAGTGCTTGTTTTTGTCATAAATATTATATGCACCATATATTGATTACATATGTGACAAAGGTTAAATTCACTTGATGGTCAATCATAGAGTTAATATGTGTTGTGTTAGTCATCTATGTAGTATAGTATATGCGTGTTAGTGAGACTATGAGAGTATCTTTACTCTAGAAATCCCAGCACCATAATGTGCAAAAAGGTAGAAATTGTCATTTTCGGCCTCGTTTTCCTGAAAAAAAAAAAAATATCATTACTATACCGAGAATTAATTAGTTAATTGATTAAAGGTTATTCAAGGTTATTACTTACATGCGATTAATTAATTAATCTTATGGGAGTTTTAGCTAGTAACCTTTCAAGAACCAAGGCAAAAGGAGCGAGGACAAGTGCTGCAGTAGCATTGCGATAGACGATGAGAACATATCTATTCATGCCATGATTGAGAGTGGCCATGCTGATTATGTACATCCCTGCACTCCCAAATTGCAAGCTCACCACCAGCAAATAAGGTTTCAGCTTCTTCATCATCACACCAAACCTCCCACCTGAGTTGTTCTGCTCATCATCTCCCATCTCTCTCTCTAACAATTTAACTTAACCCAATTATTTTTTCTTTGTGCAAGAGATGGAACAGTTTAATTAGGGATGGAACTAAGAGGTGCAATGCAAGCTCCTTCTTATAGAGGAAAAAAACATTAATTATGTTAGGATAACAAACCCACTTCAAGAAAAGGGGTATTATCTTGCAACCTTTGTGGATTGCGTGCATGGCCCTGTCTTGAAACACTATTATATGCTTTCTTTGCTCATTATTTACGATCCCTTTTTTAGGTTTTTGTTCCTCTTTTTGTATGGTTGATTTTATTTTCCTTCAATTGTGATATAATTTGGAAACATTTGATGGGATATAGATTTTCTTAAAAATAAATTCTAATTAGTAGTAAATACAATCAAGAAACAGTTGTATATTTTTTTCACAGCTTATTGATCACGATGACATTGATGTTATAATTACTTCATGATCGATTAAAATTTATTGGAGAGTTTCGTATTGAAGTGACTATATATGCATGTAAAGTAAGTCCTATAGAGAGTGTTTGGCTTTAGGGGTGAGAGATTGAAGCCTTGGGATTGGGTGTTTGTATGCCTTTAAATGAATTAAAAATTTATCTAAAAGGTGGAACACCCGATCCAGCCAGATTATCACCTCTAATATCACATCTATTGGATATAAACAATAAATTAATTAGGAATATTATCCAGTTTTATGCATCACACATGACCATTAAATCACTAATACAATAAGGGTTGAAGAACCTATTAGCTTTGATACATACATCTCTAACAGCTGGGTTGCCTAACAAATGGAATAACAATCTTAATCGATCATGATGTAATTATAACATCACTATGTAAACAACTAAATGCAATATAATTAATTGCATGCAGTTATAATCATAAAATTCTTACTTTTTCTTAACCTTTTCCCCCTCTCTGGGGAAGGGGTTTGAACTGTGTATTATTTTGACTACATAATAGAGATATCACATAACAATATATTACAAATTAAAAAGAATTTTGAAAAATTTCGTGTACTATAACTATTTTAGTTATTAGATTTTAATTTATTTTGGGCATGGCTTCAATGCTACATATCATTCATGTTACGGATGTTTTAGCCATTAGATTTGATTTTTACAACTGTTTAGAGGTTTTATTTTCAATCTTAGTCATTCATTTCCCGTATCATTGAGTTCTACGTAGTCTTGAAGAAAAAAGCTTTAACTTTTTGTTATGTTAGTTTTATTTTTTCTTTGAAAATTAAAAACTTGTTTGATAATTGTTTTTAGTTTCAACCAAAACTACAAAACGAAACAGTTATCAAAACAGTCCCAAGTAAACTGATTAACTAGGTACTCAGACACATACACAAAGGAGGGCAAATATTCCCTGTTTATCTACCCTGTACAAGTTTTGAAAATGTGATTTCTGATGTTATGCATTGTGAAGAGAAGTCCACTGGAAATAGCCATTAGCCAGCTAAGTAGAGAGGAGTCGATCTCATCTTAAACATTAACTGAAAATTTGGGCAAATGTGTATTGGTACTAGGTTTTGCATATTTAGTCAATGTTACACGGTTTTGCTTAAATTGTGGGCTAAGCAAAGATATAAGATGAACGTAAATCTGTTTTGGATAACATGAATAATTAAGATGATGTATACATGCACCTAACTTTTTTATTCCAATTATTAGTGGCTGTGAAAAGAGCCATATATCATCATAAACTTCTGTGCATGCATAATTGCTACCCATTCAGCATGCATGATGAGGACAGGTAATGCTCCTTCATTATTTATTATTGGGTTTTTAAGAGTACCACCTTTAGTCACCCACTGAATATCTATTTATTAAAGAAGACTGAATTAGTCCTAAAGTCGAAAGACTAAGGCAGCAAGGCGAAAGAAACATTGTGTTTAACTCACCAATCAAAACTAGGGGAGGGAGATATTCTAATATAATCTAGATCAGGGGAGGAGATTCGATCTTAGATTCAAGGGGCATAATGTATTGCTTTAGTCAATTTGGTCATGCATAGAATTTACTAATTTGAAATTGAATCATACATTAGCGCAAGAGGACACGATTGCAGCAATGTACTGGCCCAACAAGTCTGTGAGTTTGTTATGCTCATGTTATCCAGTAAGGGACAGACAGCAGACTTCAATGGCGTAGCCATCCACAAGGCTAAGGTGCTAGATTTGTAGCTCAAGGAGGTGTTCTGTAAAGGTAGTGCTATCCATTCACTTATTTTTACTTCTTGTACACCTTTTTGAATTGTTGGTTGTTCGAATCTAATGAATTGAAGATGATCACTGACAAAATATTAATTAGGCTGTGTTGGAAGTAAAAATGAATTTGTGAATAGATCTATTCTTTTGTAAACTCATGCTTATAGCCTACTCAATTTCAATACAGATTATTTTTTAATGTATATTTAGTAGAAGAAAGGTAGTAAATAATACGTTTTATGCTAAAAATTATAAATTAGTTCTATCTCCAGTCCCCTTTTATCCTACTCTTTAAGGAAAAAGACCATTTACCCTATGTAATTGAGCCTATGTGCTTCTTACTCAAGAAAAGAAACATAAGTTCTTTAAATCCACAATTAAATCCCTATCTCCATAATTCTTGACTTTCCGTTGCAATTTTCCAATGAATGTCACCTTTGGTATGTTCTTAATCTCTTTATTTACTTATTCTTGATTTAATTAGTAGGTTAATTATTTATATGGTCTTTGAATTTATAGGTTAGGGTTATGATTTTGAGAATAGTTTATATTATATTGTTGTTCTTTTATATTGATAATTTTATATAAGCAAAAAAATAAATAAATAAACATATGATTTTATGGTACTATTTTCAGCTAGCCCATCCAAAAGAAAAATCCTGGCTCTGCCCTTGGCAGACTTGGACAAGAAAACAAGTAGCAGAGAAGATCGAGGAGGCAGTGGAACACTACTGGTGCAAATACTTGTATGGTCATAATCACACGATTTATATTACTCAAATTAAACTAAATTCGCAATACCCTGAAAGTGCTGACTTAATGTTTGGGGAACCACTAAAACATTCAGTAAATTATGATTTTTTTTTTCAATCAAATTTGAGATTCAGCTAAGATGGTATGAATTTAGAAGCTCTAATTTCATTGGAGATGTTCAAAATTACCAACTACATTAGGTCTACCACTTGATTTTGTTGTTGTTCCCAATGGTCCCTTCAGTTACCCAAATGGGCAAAACAACATTCCTATGCAAAATAATGCATATGACAGTCCCTGATCCATTCTGAATTCTGATCAATGTGATAAATTTGCAAGGAGAAATCCAATTTCACCCCCCCCCCTTTTGAATAGAAATGTTTGGCAATGCTTGTCTGAATGTCAAGCAAAGGCTTACATGGATATGTTTGTTTAGGTAGATTCTTATCAAATAAAGGATATCTTTCTTTAGGCAGATTCCTGTTAAAGAGGGAGAATCTTTCTTTAGCAAAACGATATTCTAAATCACTCCAATTTATGAAAGAGTGATTCAAGCTTGACAACAAAAGAAGGATTGTGACAACCCATTCCTAATTTTACAATTTTATAAATTTCAACACATCTTCCAAACAGATCTGCAGATGACTTGTACACTATTCGCCAGAAGCCAGACGAGTCACTATGTGAGTATGCCGGCCGCTTCAACCATGAATATTCTTGTTGCGTTAAGACAAATTATAAGACTGCCCTCAAGACCTTCATGGAAGACTTATGTGAGTGTTTCTTCAAGTACATGATCAATGCCAACACTTGGAAGACTTACTCTGAGGTGATGGCACATGCTTATAACCATGCATCTGCTGAAACAATGACATATCAAGGGAAACCCCCTATGGCTATCCCCTATCAACAATTAGGGAACAGGAGCCAGATCTAGCCAAGTGAAAAAACCTCAACCTTCCAGATTGTTGTTGTATCTCCCCCTGCCTCGCCTAGTGCTTCGCCTGGACAACTAACATATCAATCTCAAGGTAAGAGCAAGGACTTCCATTCTCAACGGTCTCATTTTAATAAGAAGAGTAGGGGACACTATCGTGATAACCAAGGGTACCGCTACAATAATGCCCACCCTCAGGCAATCAATGTAGTAGACCAAGTGCATGTCAAGACAAGCCTTACCCCGAGGTATGAGACATACATACCTTTGAATGCCATGCGCAACCATTTACCCCAGTATAGCTCACTTAATACTGAAGCCAAAACCAAGGCAGCCAAATTATAAGTCCACGAAGAACATGGGCGTGTTTTGTTGCTAACATGAGTATAATGGCCATGACAGCGAAAAGTGTGTCACCCTCTATGACCATATCGAGGCTTTGGCACGCAAAGGGAAAATTGATCAATTCCTTATTCACCCCCCTTAGGGACAATCGAAACCAACGCCAGGTAAATGTGATATATTGTATTAGCGGTGGCACACCTCTCTCCGAATCTTCCAACAGGACCATTAAAAACAATGAACGAACTTTGAGGTTTGGCCACCAAGTATTTCATATGGAAGACATCAGGGGAGGCAAGTATTAAAAGCCTAATTAGGATCCGATATGTTTCTACCCAGAGGAGGAAAGAGGCATCATCTACCCTCATAACGACCTACTGATTGTGCAGGCTCACATAACCAACTTTGATGTATGACGGATCTTTGTAGACACAAATGTTTCGGTCAATATCATGTTCGCTGAAGCTTTCAAGGCACTTAATGTAGCTGAACATTTGCTCAATCCCTTAGTTACTCCCTTGATAAGCTTTTCTGGTGATATCGTGCATCATTTGGGGAGCATACACTTACCACTCACCATTGGTATAGGCCCTTACACATGTACTATTACCACTAATTTCCTTGTGGTTAATTGCCTGATAGTGTACAATGTCATCTTTGGACGCACAGACATCAACGATCTTAAAGCCATGGTACTACACATATGTTGCTGATGAAGTTTCCAACACCTTCTGCCAATGGTTACATCAGAGGAGATCAACTGCGTGATCATGCTACAACACTTCAGTCAAGCAACAACACTTGCAT